AGATTCAAGCATCCTACCAAGTAATAGAACTATTGACAGGATAATTCTACCACTTGTATGGACTTTCATAACATGATTAACAGATATAAGTTTGTCCATATATGGCTTCAATTTATTATTTGATAATGTATGTGAGTTAGCGATTATGCTAATCCACAAATAAATATTTCTAATTTTCTCTCACTTTGATAGCATAATAAAAAAACATAACACTCACATAAATATCAATTAATAATAATAATACTAATAAATAAAGTATGGACAAACTTGTAGTTTAAGTTTTACAATAGCACGTGAGCTTTTAATACAATTTTTTATTCTCACTTCAATATAAAGAGACCGCATATGCCTCAATGAACAACAATTAGGCATTAAAGCAATAAACACTAAATGGGCATTTTAAAATTTGAACAAAAAATTATATTATATGTCTAAATTTTATTTATTGGAATATCAAATTATGTGGCAGAAATAAATAAAGTATGACCATGTAATATGGAAAATAAACATGCTCCAAAATTTTAGGTATCAAAATAGTGAGAATTAAACCTACTCAGAAAATATATGAAAATCATTACAATAAACAAATATTTAAATAAAAGTACTTTCTGGTAGCTTATGTGCATCCATGTATGGAGTGTTGTGCATCCAAAAGTCTCTCTCAAGAGGAAATATAAAATTTGGTGGGAGAGCTTCGTAACAGAACAACCTAGACAATTTGGCATATTTAGACTTGCGACAGGTGAGTACATAAACATTCACTATTATCGAATTCTCACAATTAAATATGCCATATAAAAAAAATAATATAATTAAAATTTTATGGCATTTGATCATCAAACAAATTATATACAAAATGCCCAAGAAAAATTTGTTTGAAAAACTGTGAGAATTAGCCATCAATAAAAATATAATCAACTTATAAAATATATAAACATGATTTTATGGTGGTCCAAACTTAAAATAAATTATTTTAATGGGTAGGAGATGAAAAATAGAGCGTAACGGTGAAAACGACACTCTCAAAACGGACTTCGAATGAGTTTCGTACGAATCGGTCAAATTTTGGTCAAAATTGGTTTTTTTTTTTCAATTCTTTAGCCCACATGTAGTTTTGGTTAATGAAGAAAAACGGCACAAAACTTTGAAAATGACATGTCATTTTTGAAGCAAAATTAAAACACAATGTCGTTTTTCTCATCTTCAACCTCACATGCAACACGACTCAGTATGTGACCCGCGACCCGATCCGATCCGACTCGACTAATTATTGGCCTCTAGAACTCCGTTTTCAATGATTTGAAAAGGAACTTTTCTCATAATTTTGTCCTCTTTTGATCTATAACATTAAATGGTCCAAAAACAATCAAAATTTTGACGATAATAAAAATCCATTTCGGCCATTTTCGGACCTTCAAAAACATAATAGTTTTTCAGCCATACAATGCCCAATAAACACAAAATTCATGGTATATAGTTTGTTTTCACAATCCACAAGACAAAAAATAACTTAACTCAAGCCAATAGACAGCCTTGATTCGAGTTCTTATCTTAGTACGACCATGGATAGAGTTTGAAAATCCAAATTGAAAAACCATCAAAACAACACAATTCTATCAAGAAAAATTCACCCCCACATATATTCATAATATATAAACTCATACACAAAATATTAGAGCAATTTTAGGGATTTTGAAAAATGGGTTTCGATACCCTTGAAGAAATCCGGAAATGCAGAGCCTCAAAACTTAAATTGGAGGCTCTAATACCAATTGTTGAAACTAAACATTGAACCAATTGAGAATTGAAGCATGTACAAGTGGGTTATCCCGTGGTAGCATTGGTGGGCAGTTGGAACGTCGCTAGAAATCGCCGAAGCCGAGGGTTCAATAAACTCTCCTCCTTCTCTCCCTCTACCACACTATTCCAAGCACACCATAAAATGGGCACACCCCAAAATATATGGCAACAACATTTCTTATTTTGGGTTCACACTTTAATTGGCCTATAGTGCTTATTTTAATTGTATTGAGAGGTTATTTAATATAATGGGTTGATCAAAACATTTATAAGAGAGGCAGTTCATACGCCTCAAATTAGTCAACAAGCTGAGTGTTCATCCCATTATGAACTGATATTTAACATACATGTATAACTAAATTTAAATTAACAAAGCTATCCGTAAGATGCTTTAATAACAAATTAGAGTGAATTATTATGTTTATAAAAGTCCACATAAAAATATTCCAATACGGTTAAGAAAGAAATCAACCAGAGAGGTGAGGAAAAGAGAGAAGAGAGAGAAGAAAGGCGGCAGGGAAAAGAGAGAGAAGAGAAGAAAAATGTATCTAGAGTTCTGTAAAGGATATTTCAAACAATATAAATTTGTGAGTTTTCGAAATCTAATGTGACAATGTTAAAATAAAAATATGAAAGTAGTGCTAGTTATAAAATAATTATTCTAATCAATGTTATTTTTATAAATAACCCTTAGAAATTCAATCTCATTTGTTATAGTGCATGTAGATTCAGCGCATTACTTCTCACATGTAAACTTCTTATTTACAGGATCACAAGTGGTATACGTGCCTTGCTTTAGAAAAAAAAAAAAATCATAAGTGCATGTACAGTTGTTCTTGGGAGAATTATTAGTATTTGAACCAATGCATGAATTCATAAGTAAAATACACGTGACCTCATCAACGGTTAATGTACGTCTTTCAAGTGACTCATATATATGTATATAAAAATATGCCATGTGTGTATATATATATTTAATATGTTCCCTATCTAAGAATTAGTTCCTCTTTGATTTTCCCTTTTTTTCCCCGGTTTTAAACTACTCCCCGTTGAAAATTTTATTGAATAGAAGGAAAAAAAAAGTTGTTAGAATGAAGGTTAACAATTCAAATTTTTATGGGTCAAGTAAGAAAAACCACTTTCTAAGTGACCTAATAGGAAAATAACGTATGGTTGCCTTTTATTTCAAAAATATTCTTATAGATCATTTGAAAGTATAGAAGCTATCTTTGTGCCATCGACATACTCTAGTATGATTTCTCTGCTCTTCTAACTCTGACGTGATCTCTCCGGATGAAATTGTCTTAAAGAGCTTGGAATAGCATTTTAACTATCGGTTTATAAATTATACACAACGTAAACCACTGGTTCACCTAATTTTTTTATTTGGTTCTTTCAGAAAAAGTAAGAGAAGGGGAAAAAAAAAGTTAGCCAAGAGTTTACTTACTAGATAAAAAGTAAACTGTTGGTTTTCTTATATATTGAGCAACTTGCCGAAAAAAAGTTAGGAAAAAAAAAACTAAAAAACCACTCAAGTTGGTAAAAAATATTTACCATTCAATTAATAAAAAAGAAAACAAAACGTCATAATGACATTCAATTATTTAGAATGATATAAATAATATATCTGTACAAAATCATGATCAATCATGAATTTTTGTCAAAAATTAATTTATTATAATATTCGGTTGCTTTGAGAGTAAGATAGAGAACTAATGAAGGATAAAATAGAGTTATATAGTAGTTTACTACTCGATAAATATAAAATGTAAATTAGTAGTTTATTTACTAAAATTCATAAAGATAATAGTAATCCCTACAGGGTTGAACTCCGTTATAAACGGGATGGAGATGGAGAATAATAATTTAAAATGGGGAGAAAATCTTGTCACTAAGATATGGTGGGGCAAGGATGGAGGAAGCAATTCTACGTTTACCTCTGCCTGATATATATATATATATATATTATTTTATATCAATAAATATATGCAACATTAAATTTTCAAACTTAATTAGTTCTTTTGTAGCTTTTATTACTTTTGACGGTAGAATTTCATCAACAATCAACAATTCAAACTCTGAGTACGTAGCTAAGTTGAAACAGATTACAATGACTGGAGAAGAAACAAGGAAAGTAATTTGCATGAAGACAATGAAGAAATTAAGGCCTCATTTATTTCGCTGATTCGAGTTTAGAATTCGAGTTTTGCTACAGTAAAAAGCTCTCAGAAACAGTCACATTTAATTTTTTTTACTACAGTAAAAAGTACTCACATAAAATCACATCTCAACTCGAATTCTAAACTTAAATTAGTGAAATTAACGGGGCCTAAGAAAATAGAAAGAAGAAAGCACAAATTTATTGATTAGTTTCTGGGTACGCACTCACTCTCACATGCTCTCAAAATACAATTTTTGCAGTGTAACCCCTAAGGTAAGAAAGTTTTCCAACCTTTCATTCGTTTCTTCTCGCATTTATAGAGCTTCTTCCTCTGAGTAGCCAACGATCGTGAGTGTGACCGCTCTCTCCCCCCACGTTCGTCACTTCCGCACCTCCGCTCCTCTTCAGACGTGACCCATTTTCTTTTCCATCTACGTGTGATGTGGCGGTTCTTCAAGCATACCCGGCCATACTTTGCACATCGTGGGGTGGTTAATGTAGCGGTCCTTCTCATTTCCACGCAATAAACTGGGGAGAGGTTGGGCTTAATTTAACTTGCCCTACCCAAGTTATTTGTCTTGAAATCAATGTGCTGAGTTTAATGTATCAAGCTCAAAGTATTGAGCTCAAGGTACCAAACTCAAAGTATTGAACTTAAGGCATTGAGCTCAATGTATTGAACTTATGGCATTAAGCTGGAGGTACTGCGATTAAGGTATTGAGCTGATGGCATTTGAGCTCAAGATATTTAGGGATTATTTTTTTAGAGTGTAATTTTTGAGTTGAATTTGAGTTATAACTTGAATTGAAATTGTAACTTGAATAAAATTAAAACTTAAAAAAACGTGAACTTAAATAAAATTAGAACTCAAATTATCTTTTTTTGAATTTTTTAGACAAAAAAACATACCCTAGTTAAAGGCATTGAGCTCGAGATACTGAGCTCAAGGTATTGAGCTTAATGCATTGAGCTCGAGATACTGAGCTTCTTTAACAATTTGTGTAAAATTTGGGCTCAAAATCAGAAGCAGCCCAAAGGCCGCTTCTGATTCTAGATTGTGCGGGAATCCACCGTCATTTAATAAAAATTTCATTAATTCCCAAACTATCCCTCTGTCTCCACCGCAAATCTCTCTCTCTCTCTCTACTCCGCCGTTCTCAGATCCAGGTGATCTGAGCCCGTCGACACAGTCGCCGCGGTTTCGTTCCGATCTTGGTAGCGATAAGTGAGAGATGGAGAATCTAATCTCTCTGGTGAACAAAATCCAGAGGGCTTGCATGGCTCTCGGCGACCACGGCGAAGCCAGCGCGTTGCCTACTCTCTGGGACTCTCTCCCGGCGATCACCGTCGTTGGTGGCCAGGTTAGCTTCCCGATCTCCCCACACCGACTCGACTCTCTTTCTTAAAGCTCAGACTTTCCGTGATCAGAACTTGGTCGGATTATATATAGATATTATTTAATTCTTAGTTGATACTTGTATATTTTGCATTTTAGGCAATTTTTTGTATGTTTGATTTATATTAGTACGTTGATGTTATGTTAAATATCAATATATTGATGATCTGCTATAAATTAATCATGTTAATAATTTTTATATCAATATTAATTGCTTCCTCACAATCGTACGGTGTTCCACAGAGTTCAGGAAAATCCTCTGTGTTGGAGAGTGTTGTCGGCAAGGACTTTTTACCTCGTGGGTCTGGTAAGTTTCGCGTTGATATTATTAGATTTAGTGTGGCAATGAGATTCAATTATATAGAAGATTGTGGGACTGATGCGTGCAAAATATGTGCAGGAATTGTTACTCGGCGTCCTCTTGTGTTGCAACTTCATAAGATTTCTAAAGGCAGCAGAGAATATGCGGAGTTTCTCCATCTCCCAAGAAAAAGATTTACTGATTTTGGTAATTACTTTATTATGAACTTCCCTTTTTGGACTTATGTTGGAATGTGATTGAATCGATTCCATCTTGCTACTTGTGAATAAAGTCTTACTCAAGCTTCTATGTTTGCTCTTTGGTTTAACTTATTACATGCATCTGAATATAGAATTAACGACCTATTAAATATGTGTGTGTGTGTGTGTATTTTCCTTTCTGGGTGTTTGGAGGCACCACTCTTTTGAGAGCTAAATGTATGTAGTTAATGAGTTATATTCATTTTACATGACAATGTTGATTATATCTGTGAGGCACCACTCCTCTAGTGTTCCAATTCATCTTAGCGTCTATTCTCCCAACGGTAAGATGAAGGTTGAATTTGTATTCATTTTAGGGCAGTACACTAGCATTGAAGTGCAGTTTTATTCTTAATTTCAATTTGACACGTTCTACTGTTGCTTGATGATGGCAGTTGTCAACTTGACCCTTATTGATCTTCCCGGGCTTACAAAAGTAGCAGTTGGTAAGTCTGACAACAGTTGCAAGTCATGCTCATGCATATTTTCTCGTTGCAGATGGAAATGGCTATTTCTGTAACAACAACAGGAATTGCTAATATTGCGGATGGTAAAATGGGGTCTAGTATGGGCAATCCAAATAGTAATTTGCCAAATTTTATTTCACCTTTTAAGAGAATGAAAAAAATTTTAAGTGAAGGCTCTTCATCCTCTCATGGAATCTCCACTGCAATTGGATCAAGAAGAGTAGGGTCTCGCCAGATGCTCCCAGATGCGGTTTTAGCTCTAAAGTCGTTAATGCCCCTTAAAGAGGAGAAAGTGAGTTTTGGCTCCTTTGACATCTCAACTGATGAGGAAGTTAGGCATGGGCTGAAAGTCTTTTCAAACTGGCCAACCTTTCCACAGCTTTATTACAAAGGGGAACTCATAGTGTTCCGATGCTATGATATGGATTTCCGATATAATTAATGTTTCATACTCCAAATTTTGATAAATCTTAGCTACCAATTAGTTTTGCTGCTTCTTTCTTTTTGTCATAGCTTATGTAGTTATGGATATATATGTTTGCAAGAACTATTCCTTTCTGAAATAATATATCAATGTGTGTATTTTGAAATGATATTTTCATTTGCTCTTTTTTCTTGTGTATGGGTATCAATGTGTGAATTTACTCATTTACGTGTGTGTGTGTGTGTATGGATATCAATAGGAAGCTGAAGACCACCAACTAGGAAGTTGAAGGCCACATACAAGGCATCAAGGCCCAACTTGTTTATGTAATTTGGTCATTTGACGATCAAGCTTTTAACTTGTTTATGGAATGTACATTTTTGTTCAACAAATTGATTTCTCACTAATATTTCTTTTAGTTGTAATTATATTGTGAATGAATAAATGAAAAAAAGAGAGAATTAATTATCATAAATTTATTGTTAAAAAACTCAAAATCATAGCATTATGTTTTTTTTTAAAAGTTAAATAAGTATTTCTAAATACCAAAAATAATTATATATATTTAAGTTTCATACCATGTCTATTTTGGTCATTTTACATACCCACAACAATTCAACCTCAAAATTTACCAGAGGCTATTACACTAATTTTGGAACCAGCACAACTACTATAATTACAGTTTACCAAACACTCAGTTACTTCTTGTAACAGTTGTTTCTTCCTTCAGCACAACTAAAAGCAATTTTTCTAAAATCCACAACACTACCAAACTAAGCCTAAGTTTGATCTGCAAATGCTATGTTTTGTAGAACCTACTATGATTTTGGTTTAAATTTATACTTAATTTTTGTTTTGAATTAGTATAATTTTGAAATGTTTAGTTGTATTAGATGAGAAATAGGATGGTATGAGGAAATTATCCCTAGTGGAAAACTTCCAATTCCGGTCTCATTTCTCCGCAAGTAGAGATAGAGATGTCAAAAGGGCCGTGCCGGGCCGGCACGGCCGTTCTAACCCCAAGCCCATGGCGGGCCTGGGCCGTGCCTGGCACGACCCTGCACAGTGTAGGGTCGTGCCAGGGCCGGCCCTAAGGAGAAACCCTCAGGCCCAGCACTGGCCCTTAGCCCTAGTCCATAAGGGCCAGGGCCGGGCCTGTGCCTAGGCCCTTCACGGGCCGGCCCTGGCCCTTTTAATTTTTTTTTTCAATATTTAATTAAAAAAAAGAAAATATATCATATGTCCCCAAAAGATGTGATTTTATTGAATTGAGATAATATAAAAAGTACACATAAATGATCAACTCGTTAAAAACCTTGTCAAGTAAATCTCGTGGAGAGATCGGGACAAAATCTTAGCGAAGGAAAAAAGAGTGCAGTATTCTAGGATAAATAAATTACAAAACCTAAGTGCTTCTAGAAGATTCTGTTATGTCTAAACTCAATCTTAACCTAATTTTCTTAATGCACTTGAGTTTCACTTATGATTAGCAATATTTTTAGGATTTTTTTTAATTTCAAATTTGATGACAAAAAAAAGTAATATATCATATGCCCCAAAAATATGTGATTTTATTGAATTAATATGAATAATTATAAGAAAATGATTGGTTGACCAGACGGCATAGGTCGGCCAATTGGCCCTAAAATGCCTCAAACCTCATTAAAATTTCATGTCCCAGGCCTGGCCCTTCGCGTGCCTGGGCCGTGCCTAGCCCTTCGCGTGCCTGGGCCTTGGCGTGCCTGGGCCTTGGGCGTGCCTGGGCTGCGGGCCTCAAACATGAGGCCCAGCCCAAGCCCCTCTGGCGTGCCGTGCCGGCCCGGCCCATAACAGTACAGGGTCGGGCCGTGCCGAATTTACTACTGTAGCGGGCTGGCGGCCCAGCCCAATTGACACCTCTAAGTAGATATGGGGATGAAGATAGAGATCGCTTTGGGGCGCAAGAATGGGGTCGAGAAATCGTTCCCTATCCCTGACCCACCCCACCCTGTTAACATCCTTAAAAATAGATTAAAATAAGCGTAACATATGGAATTTGTAACTCACATATTGAAAGTATTAAAGGGAGTATGAAAATATAAAAAACTAAGGCCATGTTCACTTCACCAATTTGAGTTTAGAATTTGAGTTTTGCTACGGTAAAAAGCTCTCAAAAACAGTCACATCTAACTTTTTTGCTACAGTAAAATGCTCTCACATAAAGTCACATCTCAACTCGAATTAGCGAACTAAACGGGCCTTAAAACTCGCCACTTACTTTACGTCACCTACTTTTTCTTTATATATATATATTTATATTTATATTTAAGTAGCATATATTTAAAACTTATGAAAATGGTAAGAAATATGCCTATATTTAAAACTTATAGAATTAAATAATAAAATTACCAATATATAAAAATTAATAGATCATTTCATATTTTAATTTTTAATTTCTAATTTTACCTATTTTTTTCCATTTTCTTGCTATGTTTCTCTTTTTTTTGGTAAATTTAGGTATATCTAAAATTTATTAAGTTAGAATCACTTAAAAAACAACGGTACAAATTCTAAAGATAAATTTTAGATATGCTTAATAAATCTTAAATTTATTAAATTAGCATCACTTTTTTAAAAATCATACAAATTTTAATAGTAAATTTTACATGATAAATTTAAGATGTACTAAGAGAATATTTTTAAAATTTCAATTGTTATAAATCTAAATTTATATTAAATTGGTCTATTTATTAAATTTTTTAAAATATTAGCCTATTAATATTTATTAATTTTTTAAAGCATTAGCCTATAGAAGGGTTCAATTTTTTTAAATGAACAATTAATAAAAACCCCTCCATTGTTTTTGGGGCTTTTAAAATCTTTTGTCTCCAGTTAGTACAAATTGACACAGCAAAAAGACCAAAAGCCACCGCTAAAACCCTAGTCTCCGAAATCGGTGCCTCCTCTCTCTCTGTCTGTCTCTCAGCAGTGAGAGTCTGAAAGACCATAGTAATCAATGGCTTATAAATCGGAATATACGATTATACGACCAATACAAGTAATAATAAGACTAAAAAAACCCTAAATTATTCATTTCCTCCGTAACCAAAATCAACACAATCCCCAATTTTCAAAACCCTCTCTCTCTCTCTCCGACAGCAGATTATTGTCTTTCGTCTTCCCGCCCTCTCTATCTCTCTCTCTCTACTTTCTCTCTCTATACTTTTTTTTTTCTGCGTCTGAGAAAAAGCAAAGACGGTGGACAGAGAGCTTCTTTGAAATGCTCGGAAGTGATGCAGAAGCTGTTGCGCATAAGCCCTTCTTCCTCAGGCCCCATTATCTGCACTCTGGGTAAAACCCCTTCTTCTCTCTCCAAAACCTTTCTCTCTCTAACCCCCCAAAACCCCCTCTTTCTCTCTCCTTCCTCTTCCGCCCTGCAGACAATGCCAGCCGCCGCTACTTTCTCCTCCTCAGCCGCCGCCGCCGGCGTGGTACCCAGGACGCGCGGCGCCGCTTTGTCCTTGCCTTCCAGACACTGCCGCATTTGCCTCTGCTCAATCGAGGCCCAATGGGCCTCTCCGGCCCGTGCCTGGGCCGGGCCTAGGGTCGCGTGGCTGCGGGCCTCGTCCGACGTGCCGTTCTCTGCCTCCGCCGGCGTGGACGGCAGTTCGAATATGCCGGAGAAGGGTTTGGAATTTTACGGTGATGGCGGAGACGGTGAAAGGGGTTCGGAGGAGGAGAAGCCGACGGTGAGGCTTAATAGAAGGCAGAGAGGAGGTTCTTCAGATGGCGGTTCCTTGGCTGGAAACCCGGACTTGTTGACGATTCCCGGTGTGGGCCCCAGGAATCTGAGGAAGCTCGTGGAGAATGGTATTTCTGGGGTTGCTGAGCTCAAGCAATTGTATAAAGATAAGGTATTTTTTACTCAACTTTTATGCCCTTCAGTTTGTGCTGAAGGTCTGTATTATTTCTCGGGTTTGAACATTGTGTGTGTGTGTGTGCTTTTATTTATTTATTTATTTAGAGAAGTGCTGCACTTTTCTCTAGGGTCAAATAACATTTTTTTTTATGTCTGCATTGTTTTAAACTAGATCTTACTCAGATGAACTTTATAATTTACTTATGGCTTTAGTTTGCCTGGAGTTTTTGTACATTAAATCAGTGGCAGAGGTGTCCCCAAAACCAGTTACGTACTTTTGACTTGTATCTGTTTTTTGCTCCTTGTTTGTGTTTAGTAAATAGTAAGTAATGTCATTATATAACCGGTGTATGCTTTCGGAGAAAATTCAAGTTGATGAGGAATTTTGGTGATGGCGGTTGCAGTTTTTCGGGAAATCTAGCCAGAAGATGGTTGAGTTTTTGCAGAGTTCTGTAGGAATCATCCACCGAAACCATGCCGAGAGTATAACCACTTACATCAAAGAGAGTGTTGATGAAGATTTGAAGGAGGATGGTTCAAACTCTGATTTGATGCGAGCCCAGAAGAAGCGGCTTACTTTCTGTGTGGAGGGGAATATCAGTGTTGGAAAGACAACTTTCCTTCAGAGAATAGCTAATGAAACACTCGAGCTACAAGATCTTGTGGAGGTGGTTCCCGAACCTATCAACAAGTGGCAGGATGTTGGACCCGATCACTTTAACATATTAGATGCTTTCTATGCTGAGCCCCAGAGGTATGCCTATACCTTCCAGAATTATGTGTTTGTTACAAGGGTAATGCAGGAGAGAGAGTCATCTGGTGGTATCAAGCCTCTCAGGTTGATGGAAAGGAGCGTCTTCAGTGATAGAATGGTAAGGATTTTAATCTTTGTTATATTGTCTGTTTGGTATTTTCTCATAAGTGTCCAAGTCCAACAGGGATTCGAAGCTGATGGAATTAAACCGATTGCAGTTCTTTCATTTTCATGGTTGGTTTCCGCCAGAAGTAAAACCAGATTTAAAAGGATTTTGGGGCTGATTCATTTTTATCTCATTGTTACTTAATACAAAGGTCTTTGTGCGAGCTGTTCACGAAGCCAATTGGATGAATGAGATGGAGATAAGCATCTATGACTCCTGGTTCGATCCAGTGGTCTCATGCTTGCCTGGGCTTATCCCTGATGGTTTCATCTACCTTAGAGCAAGCCCCGATACTTGCATGAAAAGAATGAAGCTGCGGAAGAGAACTGAAGAAGGTGGTGTGTCACTGGACTATCTCCGCGACTTGCATGAAAAGCATGAGAGCTGGCTTTTCCCTTTCGAAAGTGGCAATCACGGGGTCTTATCTGTCAATAAGCTACCTTTACATACAGACAGCTCTTTGCACCCCGAAATTAGGGGCCGTGTATTCTTTTTAGAGGGTGACCATATGCATTCAAGTATTCAAAAGGTATATCTCCGTCTGTCTTTTTCAAACTTAGCTAACGAATATGTAGAAGATTTTGGCTTATTTTGTTCTGTTATTATGACCAGGTACCTGCTTTGGTTCTTGACTGTGAGCCCAATATTGATTTCAGTAAAGATATTGATGCAAAGAGGCAGTAAGTTAACGGTTCCTTCATCTTTGTTGAATTCTATATTTTCTTTCTTTGCTTAAATCAGTTCCTGTCTCAATGTAGCGTATTATACTTTATTGTTGGCATTTGTGTACTTGCTGATGTTTTCCAACTTCGCTTTGGATGAAGGTATGCTCGCCAAGTTGCAAAGTTCTTTGAATTTGTTAAGGAAAAGAAAGAAGTTGAACCTACAAAAGCTGGTGAGGTTGAGAAGACTAGACAACCGCAAATACTCTTGCCGCGTGAAGGAGAATTGTGGGTTCCTAACAAGCATTTTCCAGAGTCGGCCCTTAAATCTCTGGATTTCAGGCGAGCGATGTCCTTCATGTCTGGCTAGGCAGTTTTTCCTCGGGCATATATTATGGTATGGAATTCATAGGATTAGGATTCATCTCAGAGGGTTTGTTTCGTGGGGTTTGTGGCTGGGTGAGGATGTATTTATTGAAGATTTCTTGTGCGTGTACAAAAGTGTCTTAAGTTAACACCTTAACCCCAAGAGATGTAGAGAATACTAGTGCGGTTTTGAAATGCTTCTGTCTTTTGCTGTTCAAGTTTTATGCTCTTAATGGGATCACTTTTATCCGACAGCTGTCTATTAACAGAAGTTGTTGGGTCTTGTTTCGAATGATGCCAAAGGACACGCTAATAGAAGATGGATCACATAATAAGTTGTTGGGCCTTCACGGGCTAGGGTCAGGCTTGGTCTGCGGGCTGAGAAGCTGCAGTTCAGCCCTAGCCCATTAAATGTGCCGGGCTAGCACGGCCCGTAACAGTACTATACCGGGCCGTGCCGAATCCGTCACTGTTATGGGCTGGAAGGCTTGGTCTGCGGGCTGAGAAGCTGCAGTTCAGCCCTAGCCCATTAAACGTGCCGGGCCAGCACGGCCCGTAACAGTACTATACCGGGCCGTGCCGAATCCGTCACTGTTATGGGCTGGGCCGGCCCATTTGACAACTCTAATAATAAGGGGCTTACGTGTATAGTACGTACTTCTTTTAGTTGTAGTGTGTGATGTCTTAAATATTTTTCCTTCCATTGCTTGCCCACCAGCGTTGTTGGCCAATTTTTCAATTTTTGCTGAGCCGAGTTTTAACCACTCGGCATTAGAAAAATAAACAAAAACGAAAGGTCATTCTATACAATGGTACGTTGCAGATTTGAAGGAAAATACAGTGGAAGGACCCCCGAAAATAGAATAGAACAAAGGACCAGACTGGAGTGGAGGGAAAAGAATGGAAAAAGTGGATGCTTTAACGAAAGATGGTTTCTTTCTGACCTTATAATGACTGTAGAAGCAAATAAACTCAAATTAAGTAGAATCTCTTCCGGTCTAGTATACGATTCGAATTAAATTGAAACTCAATAGTAAACTGGACTGCCAAAAAGTAAAAGAGGAAAAGACATTTTGTGTATATGGGCAATGGAACAGAACTCATATTACATGAGAGATTGCCGGCGAGCAGAAATTGAGACTTTAGCTCACATGAAGAGCCACTTTCATGTATAGTTGATGTGAAAAAACAATGGAGCGTAATTCAGCACATTCACCACATCAACGTAGAATCTATCAAGAAAAGAGGATGCCATTTTTGCTTTCTTTTCCCGTTTTAAAGGTAATTTTCAAGATTCTTATTAAAAGACGATTCACCACTACATAAATTACAACTATTTACTTTGGTGAACAAAGATGCCCTTCCCCAAGCTCACAACAATCTTGAAAATGGATCTTCACAGGAAAAAAAAGAAATGATAAACAATACTTGCCAAACCATTGTTATCATTATTGCCTATATTAAGTTGCTCTATAATTCTCTCCTTAAAACTTCCGCAGGACACTGCTTAGAAGCGATGTGCATTTCCCTTCAGAATCATTATCATATCCCAAGATCAAATGACGGGAAATCAAAACCAGGACTCTCTGGTTTTGCTGGCATAATTACCTCCTGTTTCTGCGTCGTCAACAACTCTGATTTTTGCTTGAGAAGCAAAGTAGCCTGTGCCTCGAAGGCATCCAAGTCAATACTATCAAAAAAGTTGTCATCATCATCATTATCACAAACCATTTCGCACTCGCGCTGAAACTCTTGCTCCAAATTGATAGTGGGCACAGAACTTGAGGTACAAAAGCTTAATTTTCTCTTTTTACTGACGTTATCTCCTTCACATTTTGAGGAAACACTAGTAGCTGAACAAGGCACGGCTTCTGTTTTGTGATTAATTCGAAAGGAGGGCTTGGAATCCCTGCTGTTCTTTGACTGATTTGTTGAATCCGTTAGAGGCGTCTGTAAACAGAAAGATGCCTTGCCAGAACCACTTCCCCTTTCGCTTGTTCTGGGAGTGGGGGCCATAGAATTAGGAGTTGTTAAAGTGTCAGAGCCGCTTGGTAATCTAGGCATTGGTGATTGGCTGAGCAACGAACGCCTGTTGGAAGTGAATGGTTAGAAATCTAAATATGTTGAAGAGTTTCAAAAGCCCACCAAAAACAATAAGCAGTATTGTTGATGAGAAGATGTTGGTTGGACTTTGTCATGACAGCCAGCACCAGAGAGAGAAGCTAAAGACCTGTAAATCGCCATCATATCAGTCCCACTAGTTGCTGACTGAGTAGCTGCAATTGTAGGACATGTCCTGTCATCTATGAAACTATCATGTGAATTGTTATTTTGGTCATCTTCCTCATCCTCAGACGTATCACAATCTGTGGATGCCCTATACAAATAACCACCATAGTAAAATTAGCCGCCACATTCTTCATAAGATTGTCCAAAAAAGTGAAGATAAGTGGAAGTGGCTTACTCAGCTTCCTCATCAATGAAAGCTCGAACCATGTCATTATTAGGCTTCTTCCTACCTGAAAGTATCCATGTAAGGGGTTAATAGCTCATACAAGTTGGTGGTTGGATACGTGATCTAGGATTCCCACCAAGGAATGATCAAGAAGACTAATAGCATTGGACCTCAGATTTTAGTAGTAGTAAACAACTAGAAAACGAAACAGAAATGAAAATTCAAAAGGAACACGTATAGATGCATGAAATATAGCTCACAATATACCTCTTCCACTTGCTCTTGGCTTTAGGGAACTATCTTTCTCTCTCTGCAGATTCTCATTCTTTCCATCATCACCAACCTTGCGCAACCTTTTAAACTTCCGTGTCCGTTTTACACTTTCTGACTGGTCTCCCATACTCAAACACCAATTTCTGCTGCAGCTTTCATTTGTGAGGTCTGTGAAGGGACTCTCAGATTTTCCTAGAATAGGGGATGTGGAAGTACACCCTCTTACACTGGCACTGTTGTCCTTACAAAGAAGAGGAGTTTGAACTGCACCATTAATAGGAGAAGCAGAGGCATTTCTTCCACAGGCGTTGCTTTCTATGTTGACTATATCATTTTTCTCCGGAGTTGAAGACTTCAGTGGCAGCTCATTATAAAATTGGACTGGCGAGACAGGGTCAGCAACAATATACTCTCTCTCTTTACCAGGTGACAATCCTACAAAATTGAAATATAAAAAAACAAATGAAAACTCTGTAATTAGATAACTACACCGGAGAAACGAATCAATATATAACCTTATGGATATAAAAAAGAATACCAACCTTTGATATTGACAGGAGACTCTGGAACAACACCACTTATGATCATATTAGTTAGACGAGGGCTAAGCTCAATATCTCTGGACTCATTACAGTACTCATCAGGCAAAAATCTCAATGCCTTAATTTTAGAATCAGGTGTCTCAGTGATACTATCTTCATCCTCCAAATTTCCCTTCTTAATAGGAGTTTGAGGAACTCTTTCAATTCCATGGATTCCCTTCTCTTGCAAGGCATCAGAATCACAAATAGACCTAGGACTTCCATCCTTTGGGCATCTTGTTTGAGAGGTAATTAGATCCTCTAGAGCTCCAGCTTGGACAGGTAAATCCTTGTCAACTTCAACATTATTTAAATGCCAAGAAACTTGTTTTAAGCAATTTCTTTCACTTGTATGCTTAGGATGTGATACTTCTTTGAAAGTCAGTAAAGGGACAGATAGAATTAAAACATTTCCAAAAGCATCAACAGAAATATAATCTGGACCAAAGTAATATGAATGCCCATCAGGACTTTGTTGAGGGAAAGCACACACACTAGGCTTCTCCTTGGTTTCTGAGGTCTCAGTACGAGGTGATGCTGCAGAATCCAATAATTTGCCTTCCAGATTTTGGTTTGAAAACTTATCAACAAATAGCAAATCTGCAACACAATTTAGAAGAATTAAATGAATCTAGATCATTTCAGCCCTTCCATGCATTTATTCCAAAGAGAAGAAGACTTTTTAAAACGATAATACCTTCTCCGATCTCACGTTTTTCAACATTGCCCACTCCCGGATCCTTCTCTAAGCTGACTTCATCCTGAATCCATTAGATAAATCAAATAAGTAAACGCACCAGGGTAAAATATGAGAACATCAAGCATATCAACTGAAAATTTAACCTTAATCGGGGAAATTTTGCTATCACCGCCAAAGGACCGTCCTTCCAATCTTTGCATTACATCAATCAGTAGTCCCGTTTTATATGAATGCCTTACATTATGAACTCTTGAGGGAAATGTCTGGAAGTAGGGAAAGGCAATAAGAGACGGTTTCCATTTGATACCGCCGGATGGGTAGAAATACTTGGCAATTAAATTACTCTCAGCTTCAGTTAGTTTCTCTCTAAGCACTGGTGTGATTCTTTGGTCATCATCCTTCACTTTCTTTCCACTGCGGATAAAATGTTCAATTGAAAGCTCAACATATTGGACTTCAGGTTTGTATATATGGGGAACCTACAATATTATGTGACATGATTAATACGTACACAGCAAAGTTATAACAACAAAAGAAATAATAAGGCAACTTGTCCTAGAAGACCTTACCATTCTTGGACTAGGATGGAAATGGAAGCTAGTTCTCCCCCCATTTCGCATATGTTTCCCCACAGTCTTGCTATTTGCTTGTTTTCGCATGTAACCTTTCAACTCTGGCCCTTCACATGTCAGAACTAGTAAATCTTGTAAAGGAAAACAAAAATTTGATCGCATAAGGAGGGCAAACTCAAGGTCTCGATATTCATTGCATGTTCATACTCATCTAACCTATATTCCACCTTGTAACTACATGCTCATATAAAAAAAGGATATCAACTCGACCATCATGCTTCCGTCCAGTTCTCCCCATTCGTTGAATCATTCTCAATGGGGAAATATTAGCATCAAAGCATATAACAAGATCAACTTCCATTATATCCAAGCCTTCTTCACCAATTGATGTGGCAACAATGACATTGAATCCACCTGCCCGAAATTTCTGTAAAGCAACTAAAGTAAGCAGATGCAAGGTGGTGGGAAAATAAGTGAGAGTGATGTAGTTACCTCCAAAACAGCCTGTTGTACTTTTTGTGACTGGCCCTTCGATGTTTTTCCTGTCAGAAACTTGGATCAGCATTTCTTTCGCTGCTATGAACCATACATGGTTGAATTCCTGGCTATTTTACTGCTAGAGCGGATGATAAGTAGTGTGAAAATGAAAGTGTATTAAAACATTTTCACTGTTCTTTTCATTAGTGCCGAAAGGCTTGTTTTAGTCATATAGGAAAAGAGAAGCCATGACAAAGGAATTATTTATTGTTTTCCTTTTCTTTTAAAAAGTGATATGGGACGAAATGGTCGCGGTATTTCCGTTGTAAATATAGACACAGGAATATTAACAGTGAAAAATGTCTTGGTATGAAATTTACTCTCTGTTTGCTGACTTCTTAAAATAAATGCATAGCTAATTCACATAGCAAAGAGAGGGCTCCTTGGCGGTTCTAAATAGGTCTCAAACTTGTTTTGTGATGACTATTGGAGTTCCAAGTGATAGCCAAAAAGAAACAAGCAAAATTAAACATAAACTTCAACTTTACTTGTTTCTTTTTGTTTAACTGCTTATCAAAAAAATAAAAAGTAAACATTAACTGTAATTTCTGAACCTCCACCCCCAAAAGCGGTGGCTGGCTTGGCCCTCTGCCAGACGCAGAATGAATAATATCTTTTTTATCTCAAAGCATACTGAATATTAACATGACATCTGACCTGAACTTTGCCCAATAAATTCAGTAGCTCGAACAAAATTCCCAATAGTGACCAATGAGTTCATTATGTCCCTGTACATTTGTTTCATTGGACAAAAGCTTTAAAAATTTGAGGAAATAAATTCAATGCAAAATGTAAAAGAAAAATTCTTATACCCTGAAAAGGAATAATTTTATAACGAAACATGAAGACAGTATTTTACCTGACACTTCCCCTAAAATTTGAGAAAATAATGACCCTTGAATTTTCTGGATCATTTTTTTCTGCAGCCACCACATAAAATGACTATATTTTCAGACAAAGACAAAATTATAAATCGCATTTAAGATTTTACGTTAAAGATTAGATACAAACATAAATTATGCACCACTGCCTGAACAGTAATAGTATATCTAAAAGAAATCATCTTAACCAAGCTCGCAAAATAGTAACTGGAATGGTATGCCATAAATCAATAGTATGGATATTATGCTACATACTGAAATGATCAAGCAGTACTTCTAACATTTTGGATAATTTGGGACTCAGAGCCTTGCGGTTTAAGCTTTGCTCCATTATGAGCTTTGCTTTGAATAGGTCTTGATTTTTACTCAAATATCTTGCAAAATACCTGAAATGGTTAAACGTGAACAATATAAAAGGCAGTCTTTCAAAACTTCTGAATATTAGTAAGTGAAGACAACTAGACACAGGGGTTTTGTAGAATTTGGTTTACAAACTAATGCAGCAGCCTACACGGCCATTCTAATATGTCAAGGCTAATAACCAGGAGCATACTACCTGCCCACATATACCAATTTGGGGTTTTGTTATGTGTATGGCAGAGTCAGCAGCCATATCAGCTTTAAAACAAAAATTGTTAAATTCCATGGAAATTTATTCATTCAGTATAAACATCAATTGGAAAATTTCTACTTTAAGAAGTCATAACCAGACCATCTTCGGAAATATTAAAAAGTCACAATAGAACAAACCCTTGTTTTAATTTATCTTCAAGCATCTCATGTGCTGGCCTTATTCCATGGCTTGAAAGTAACTTGCGTATGTGGTAAAGGGTGAGAAGTATTCCAAATAAACCTTCTGCCACTCCGCAATCGATATCAGAAATGTGTTGAGGAGGTGCTTGACGAAATTTCTCCCTTGAATTTAATAATTCACATGGGCTCAGCTGTCAAAGAACCAAAAGGATCACGAGAGCAAAAGAAATTAAAAAATTTCTCAGGGTTAGGCAAACAGAGTACTGTTGAAGTTCTTCACTACACCCATCAAAACATGACGACCCTTGATAAAGCTGTCGGCTCAGCAACTTGATCAAGATGTGCGTTGAAAAATATATGTACAAACACAAAATAATAATACCATGTCTGAAACCATATAAAACCAGATGAATTCGTGAGAACTCACAAGAGGCATATATTCATCAGCAACCGATATTGTAACAGGAAAAGTGAAAGAATTAATTCTATCCAATGGAGTGGAGTTCAATGAAAACAATTCTACCAATGGCAGTAGAGTTGAGCAGGTAATGCGGGAATATGAAATAGAAGAACCATACAGTCTTATAGTCTCTATCATGGAGAACTTGCATTCCACGAAGCCTCAGAAAATGTGGGCGTATTACTTCCAAAAGTTTATCATTTATCTCAACGGCATCTTGTCCCATAGGAACCTAGTAAAATTCTGAGTAAGTCAAAGGAATCATTTTCCTAAACAACAGACTTCAAAGAGATGTATGAACTATACGCGTACTTGAATCAACTCTATCTTCCTGTTGTGAACATATTTTCTGACATCTTCATCACTTTCATTACGATATTCAAGTGTTGATATTCGCAAGTTATCAAAAATTTGCTGGATGGTTTGCTGCTTTGCTGAAATGTGCATTTAACTTCACAATGTAAGATATAAATACAACTTTATATAAACCAAGTATATATCAGTAACTTACATCCCGGTGTTGCTGTCAAAGCTAATATTCTCAGTTCCACCGGTACAGCCATTAACTACAAATTTAGAGTTATCTTTTATCAGTCGAGTTGCTTTATCCACAAATAATGCACAGAAGACAAATAACAATTATAAACAATAATTAAGACAGATCGGAAATAAATGGAACAACATACCTCACGAACGGCACCAGAAGAAGCATAGTTTCCCAGAGCTCGGTGAGCTTCATCAATCACCAAGCATACCAAGTGCTTGGCCAAACATCTGCCTGCACAATTTACTTCATTAAACCAATCTAACACCATAATGCAACTTAAAAAAGAATTATCAGGTAAAATTACTGAGCATAGAAAGTGCAATTTTAAATGGAAAAATAATGAAGAAAAGCTAAAGTTAAATCCTTCAGGCCAAACATGGATATTGGCAAAGGACAATGATGTCTTGGAATCTCTTAATTTAAGTGAGAGAAATTCAGCATAACGTAACTGTAAGACAATTGACCATTTTCCAAATATAAGGGTACTAGAAGCCCCATATATGCAGGGAAATATGATATTATATGTTGATAGAAATCTTTGGACAAAGAGTAAGCATAAGTTCAGAAGATTTAGTGAATGGTTGAAGTTGCAATATTGGGTAACATGGCTATCCTTGTTATACATGCATAAAAGGGATAAAGATACATGCATCACTAACAGGGATAAAGCTTTTATAATTACAGGCTTTATTCACCATATTGAATATCTTTCTCCAGCACTTGAGGAGTAACGAAAAATACTCTTTTAGATTTCCAGAAGCTGGCTCTTTTTGAGGGAGTTATTTGACCAGTCATATCAATTATCAAGTCCTGCAATTCATTTAATTAGGATCTTGTCGAAATATGTAAATGGACCTAGAAAAAGAACTGTGCAAGGAAAAACCATACTTGGACAGATTACTCTGTTAATGAGCCAAAGATGGTCTTACTTGTGGAATTCCCACAATATTATGGCATGCTTCTATTTGTTGAGTGACAAGCGGTCGAGATGGTGCAGCAAAAACAATTTTTCCTGTTGTGGGAAGACCAATGTTAATATTTTCAAAAGCTTTAGGAATATACTCAAAAAGCCTTAAGGCTGGCTGGAGTAGACAAAATCTCATGCGAGTCACTAAACTAACTAACTGTGAATGTACTCTTGCAAATCATATTATCAAGTATAAATAAAAAAATTATACAATCATCATCACAAAGTAATCAAAAACAAGATCAACACGACCTTAATTCCACAGATCGGCCTAGATTAAATAAGAGAAACTAACAAATCAGAACAAATTATAACATATATGTATTTATATATATTTTGAATTTGAGCCCGAGTTTAACAAGTTTCAAGCCCTCATTCTCAGCCAACAAAGCCTATAGCACTATACCCAACTAATAAATTAGTAATATCTAAAGCATTGTGACAGATAAACAAAAATCAAATATGCTGCTGGTTAAGAAGCATGATGAAAAAATAATATTACCATCTGGGAACCATCTGAAATAGTTATACATGACAACTGCAGCAATAAGAGTTTTTCCAAGTCCTGTTGGCAGTGCCACCAATGTGTTTGAGAATAAAGCCGTCTTCGTAATAGCAAATTGATAGTCACGCAGAAAAAGAGAGAGAGAGAGAGAGAGAGAGAATCGAAAAAATCACAACCAGCGAGCAAAATCATGAAATTACAATCGATCAAGAGTCTGATAAAATTAGTGGCAATATAGAACAAAGAATAAAAAAAATAAGATAGGTCTTTATGTTCAACAAATTTAAAGATTTAAAAAAAAAAAACCTAGATCACCTTAATTTCGACCCAAAATTTGATATTTAAAAAAATAAAACTTTCACAACAGATTGTGAATTGAACCTGGGTATATCCAAGTTTTGGCAGCTTCAGGATCAATCTCAACGCGGGGCACTTTTTCATCGACCGGTTTCGGAACATCCGGAATCGGCGGTGGAGGCCTCGGGACAGCCTTGAAAACGAACTTGTCGAGCGTGGATTGCTTGGAGGTCGTCCCATTCCTCTTCTTGTTCTCAACACTATCATCGCGAGGAACGAAACTCGTAGGCTTCACGTAAGAAGAAGAAGAAGAAGAAGTGGAAGGGAGATTGCGATTTTGGAAAACGACATCGATTTCTTCACATGCTGCTACCCAATCAATGCCCTGGAAGGAGAGAGAAATGAATCGGCCATTTCAGAGAGAGAGAGCGAGAGAGAGAGAGATGAAAGTGAAGAAATGAACTTACATCGTCGTCGTCGTCGATGAGGTTAACAGTTGAGTTCATTGGATTAAGGGAATTGGGTTTCTGGAATTCGTGACGGCAAAACCCTTGGCCAAGAGCGGTAGAGAGAGAGAGAGAGAGAGAGAGCGGAGAGAGAAAGAGGAGAGAGAAATAAATAAGAAATTGGCGGCAAAAGTTGAAAAGAATGCCCGTTTTGCAGTGTCCAACACGATACTGAATCCACTTTTATGGGCTTTGTATTAACTCCCTTGGTAACAATTTTGAAGGGGACGTTTATTTTTTATATTTTAAAATGTTTGGTAGAGGGGTTCGTTTTCTGGTTTGAATCATGATTCGTAATTCGCTATAATATTTTTTCTCATAAAAAATTCACGTAAATCGAAAATGATTCGAATCACATGATTTGAATCATCCAACTAAACGTCCTCTTCGTTTTTAATTTTGAATCATGATTTATGATTTTTTATAGTATTTTTTACACATAAAATGAGAATAATTTTGAATTATAATTCTGAATACATAAACTAAACGTCCTCTAAGAATATCACTGTCATGATTCGTTCAGCACAACATATTTTAATAATTTAAGTTTTATTATAATAAAAAATTTTAAAAAATAGTCACATTTAATTTTTTTATTACAGTAAAAAATTTTCATATAAAATTATATCTCAATTTGAATTAAAAAATCAAATCAATTAACTAAATAAATACTAAATAATTATGATAATAAATTTAGTTTCTGTTATTTGTAGAATATTTTAAATGTTTAGTAATTAATAAAATAGGTTATATGTCTAAATTTCTCATACTGTTATGATACTTGCACTTAGCCCGACAATTCGGAAAGAGAATAGACTTGTCATTTATTTACATGAAGAGAATGCCTTATACTAATTTACTCAGAGGTTTATCCACAGAAAATCAATAACAATAAATATTGATTCTACTTAATAAATATCAAAATTACGAGCTATTTATATTTGTATAAAATTTATTGGTTTATTTTATTTAGTAGGTAAAAAAATAGTAAGTTTACACTACGAAAGTTGTATTCATTTTTCAATTCATCTCCCAAAATAACAGCCAACCCATGATATGTTTGTAATATGATTTTATGGTTTAAATAATATTATATTAATCAGACTTTTTTGGATTTTTTACACAATTACCTTTCGAATTTTAGTTCGTATAATAAAATGTCACTTGAATTTCAATTTATAACGTCTGCACTCTTTGAATTTTAAAAATATTGTAAATTTTTCCTTTTTGTTAAGTTATGGACGGAAATTGACATGCGGGCGCTGCCAATTTTAAGGGTAATTTAATAAATACATTAATAAACTTGTTATTGAGGTTTTTATAACGTTTTTAATTCCTTATTTTTTCCCAATTCGATCAAAACCTTATAACTAAAGAAGGAAATCAAGAGCAAAAAAAAGAGCGAGAATCCCACTGCATACTACTACAGCAAAAAGGAAGGAAGGAAGAAATTGATATCGGGAACTTCAAAGGGGATTGAAATCCTTAATCACTGTTGGTATTAATTTAAGAACAATGCTCTGGTTATGAAAATAATAGCTAAAAATTAAAAAAAAAAAAAGATTGCATTCCTCTGTTTTTTGTATCAACCTTGCTTAGTCAATGTCAAATACTGCCTAAATCGCCCCTTTCCCTTTGTAAGGTTTTTTTTTTTTTTTTCAATTTAAATGAGCAATTTAAACAATGGAAGAAATTTTTGGGATCGAAGGGGGCTCTAATGATAAGGTAGCTAGGGTTCTTGATTTCACATTGCCTAGTTATTCTAATCCTTTTTAATGCTATTGATTTCCCTCAAGCCAACATTAATCATGAATTTCTTAAAATAATCCAACTTCCTCTCTCGAGTGCCGAGTCAAATATATGCAAAATCACATAATTAATATCCATATTAATTAAGTTAATTGTGCATTCATTAAGCTCTAATTCATTTGTGATTACCTAGCTCATATTCATCTCCCGATTCCAATACTCACTAGGCTGTGTTCAACAAATCCCAACATGTGCAAGTGACTCTCTCAAGCCTAAATCCACATATCTAAATCTTCTAATCAATCTTTCAATTGATTAAAGCATTAAGCATAGAAGAACACAAATGTTTGGGCATGAAAAACATCAAATAACATCAAATATTCATAGCATAATCGTAGCAAGGTTACATCAAGTCCCCTAGCATAAAAATCTTGTAAACTCAAACCTATTAAAAATTAAACAAATCTGAAAGTACATGATGAATCCACAAAAATAGAGAAAATACTAGGTTTAAGAACAAGAGAAGGAAATAGTAAGAAAAATAAAACTCAGTGTAGTGCAGCTTCCAATCCCCAAGAGCTTCCTCCTCTAAGAGCTTCCTCCTTCTCGCTCATTTTTTTTCTCTCCGGCCGCCTCTCTAAAAGTCCCGTGTCTATCCTCTCTTGTGCCTCCTCTTCTCTACGTTCTTTTCTTTTCTTCAAAGCCCTAAATCCCCCCGTGTAATCTCAGCCCCCCTCAAAACACAATGTCGTATGCTCAGCAATTTCTCCTCCGTGAGTTTTGGGCTTCCCTAGCCTGAATTGGGCCTTTTACTTGTGGGCTAAAACCTGGCAGATTACTAGGCTTTTACCCATCTGTGGAGGCTAATTTAGGGTCCCCTGTTTGTGGGCTTCTGGGCTGATTTCATATGGGCTTTTGGGCAGAATTTGTGTGGGCTTTTGGGCTGGATTTGGGCCTTTTAATTGTAAGCCTTTCTGGCTGGCTGGCTGGCGCGCTGCAACCCACACAAATGGTGATTTTCATGAAATTCTTTATCTTTTTCACTCGATTTTCTCCATTTTGTAAATCCTACAAAATTAACAAAAACGTAAAACTAGTGACAAATTAACTGAAATTTGCTCAGAAACTATAATATATGACGGGGATAAATTGATGAAAAATCAACTTATTAGTAAACATTCAGGGGCTATTCGTTTCCTGGATAGGGCTCAAATTAGCCCAACTCAAACCGTGAGCTCGGTCCAAGTTGGCGTTCAGCAGCCTCAACTCGAAATCAAATTCGAGTTACATCTCGAATTTACTCCTCTGGAATGGAATTCAACTACCCCTCAAACTCTCATAACTCAAACCTGTCTCTACAGCTCCCCTCCATGTGATGGTCTCAACTTTTTCCTCTAGATTCCCCTGCGTTCCTGACCGTTGCTCTCTTTCTCCTCTTTTGAGAAACTACTCTCTCCTCTCTCGACTCCCATCGTTCACAGAGATTCCCTAAGTTTTGAAAATTTTTGAAAATTTTTTCTGGCTTCTTCCCTCAGCCCAAAACGGCAAAAATTACTCAGAAACGCAATCCTCGACGACCGCCGTTGGCCGTTCTTTTGGGTAGATGTACCTGCAACTGGCGGCGTAATCCCTTGCACCACCGTAATCAGCTGAGTTTTTTTCGCAGTCGGTGTTGGTGGCGGAGAAATTTTGGTACGCCATTATCTAAATTGGGTTTTTGCTGGAGGAGCATCCACATTCATCCACCAGATCCAACTCGGTAAGTTTGCATATCATTTCTCTTTGTTTTTCCATTTTCATCCACCATTCTTCCGTTGAGGACTAGAGGAGCATCATCTACTTGCATAATACCTTAATCGACTAGATCCCTTAAGAATTGGTTTCCAGCCATGTTCATTGCTGTTTTCGTTGTTGGTTTCCAGCCATGTTCTTTGTAATATTGATTTGCATGGTTCAGATTTTTACCTATCTATATACACATACTATGGACATTTTCGGGAAAAAACTGAAATGTAACGCAGAAGACAAAACAATGTTAAACTAAAAGTGATGTTCTTCGACAAAGAGAAGAAAATACAAACTAAAAACTAAAAAGTATTCTATGGACATTTAGTTGCATAATACCTTAATCGACTTAATCCCTTAAGAATTAGTTTCCAGCCATGTTCGTTGCTGTTTTCGTTGTTGGTTTCCAGCCATGTTCTTTGTAACATTGATTTGCATGGTTCAGATTTTTACCTATATATATACACATACTATGGATATTTTCAGGAAAAAACTGAAATGTAATGCAGATGACAAAACAATGTTAAACCAAAAGTGATGTTCTTCGACAAAGAGAAGCAAAAACAAACTAAAAACTAAGAACTATTCTATGGCATATGTCACAAGTTTACAATTTGGTGGATTTCTTTGTCAGTTGTACAATTGTGGATATACTTTAGTTCACCGACTATGGACATATACATGCATATCTATTACAAATATTATATACAGCTTGCTGAATATCCCAATACTGCTCATACCATGTCACTGGTGCTAATATTACTCCCTTTGTACATATATGTTGTGCAGATAAACTCTTTGTTCTTATTGGATTTAGTACTTTGGCAGTGATGATTTTTTTGGCATATCTGTTTCGTTGTAGCGATATCCTCTTGGTGTATGGCATTTATCAGTTGCTACTGCATGTAATGAGGTTTGTTTGGATTGAATGCCATATGTTGTCGTTTATTTTTACATTATGACCTATGCTTTTAAATCCCTAGCCTATTACTATGTGGTTTGGTAGCATAAGTGCCATCTCAGGAGGATAATGCTCCAAAACTATGTGATGATACAGTTATAACCAAATTTGAGCCAATCAAATGATTATGTACTTTAATCCTCTTTCTCCTTTGTTGTCAAATGAGTTGACATGTTTTGCTTTAAACATCCATTCTTCTTTGCCGTGGCATATGTCTCTTTGTTCTCATGGTTGGTGGTCTTAGATTGTATGTGTCACGCCCCTAAACCGGGGTTAGTAACGTGGAGGCTCGTTTAGAAACTTAAACCTGTTTGAGAGAGTGATTAGCAAAATAATTTAATTTCTTTCAAATCCAAAACATCCAGGTATTTCCAAACGAGCCCCTGCATTCAAGAGAAATTTAATTTCAAGAACGGTGGTGGAATTTCCAATCAAACCAGTCTAAAATCACGTCTCTGGTATCATGTCAGGAATTTCCACAGGTGTTTAGCATACATGAACATAA